AGTCGCGCGACCTTGTCCTGCCGGGACGCGTCTCAAGGAACCCATAATGTTGTATAAAACTTACCATTTTTAATAAAAAGGTAAAAAGAGGTGCCAAGTACACGCGCAACACATATTGTTATTTTTAGAAATTTCAAATTATTTTTTTCAAATTATATATGTAACATAAAATTTTACAAGTAAAATTTATAACTGTAATAAAACTCTACAACACTACTTTACAAAAGAAATTATATGAACGGCGATGTTTACGCTTTTAGTACTGTGCATTGTACTGCACCTGAACGTGTATCTTTGGGCAATGTAATTTATTATTTTCGTTATACAAGTAATAAGTTTGTACAAATAAAACTTATATTTCTAACAATAAATTCTATTGAATTCTATAAATAAAACTCTACAAAACTGTTCTGCAAAAAAATAATATAACAAAACAATAGCGTCAACTGAGAAACTCTATTCAACATCAACTCTGCAAATGAGAGCGATTTGCAATCTGAAGATAAATATATCGAAAACTCCCAATGATACACAGTCCGGTACTTCAAAAACAGTGTCTTCATTATTTACTAGAACTCTGAGCTTTATGGTTATTTTACTTGTTATTATAATAAATTAGTTATTATAACAATGCAATAAAAAATATTTAATGCAAAAAGTCTTGGCTTCTCTCTCTCTCTCTCTCTCTCTCTCGCTCTCGCTCTCTTTCTCTTTCCCGTACATTTCTACTCCTGTATTCTAGCAATATTCTTCTCTCTCTTACTCTCTATCGCTCGCTCACTCGCTGCTTCTTCAGCGCGCTTGTAACGCCTCTGGTGTCGGAAAAGTGAGATGCACAAATCCCCTCTCCTCTGCGGTCTAGCGTTTCTTACTTTTTTACTGAATCGAAATTTTCCGTGATTTGGACTTTATTTTAAAATATCTACATTTAGAGACAACGTACACAAAAAACACAAGGACACTTTTCTTCCTATTTTCTAAGGCTGAACCGATTGGCACTGAAAGAGCCTCGATCGGTTTAGCCATTGCTGAGATATAAATATCTCACGTCGTTTCAACTCTCAGTTTCGCGTAATATAAGCACGGTATGCCTCACATCATTCGGGCGCTTGAACTTGGCGCGAGGCAATACCGTGCCTCTTGATGTAACGTATATAAATTACACAATGCGGGAGCGACGTGAATAAAAGACAAGGAAAAAGTAATGCGTGAGAAATATGAAAATGCAACACAACATGGCTTGTGCAAAACTCTTACCGGCGAGACAGTCGCGATGTACACCCTCGATTTACGCTGCCGACGAATGGCCAAATAAAAATTTGTCTGGCGGACTATATGATAAAGGAGCGGCCACTCCGCGGCTCATCCGTGCGTTACTAAGTCGCGTCTGCCTCGCATGTAGATTCAACTATTTATAGCGCCGTTCAAGCTTGCAGGTAGATCGTCATGCTTGTCACGACGTGGGATAATCGATAATGGCAACTGAACAATGATTCCAATTACATTTATGGAGAAAATCTATTTTATCGGATTAAGCATTAAATTTTTATCGTAGTACACAACGATGTATACAGTTTTGTTGTACTGCTGTGCAGCGACAAATTTGCTAAAAGCTGCTCTCCAATTTTCATATTACATTTTGCACGACATGTTATTTGGAGTACATTTTCATAATCTTTTTCGAGTTTTTTTCGAGATAAATATATGTGCTATACTCATACATATATACAATACATGTGAATACTCATATGAATAATCATGGGGGAGAGGAAGGTGGGCACAACTTTTATACATCTATTTAAGGTATCAAATTTATATAAAGATAAATAAATCGCCTATCTATTTGGATACATTTGACATGTCTGTGATACGATATTGTGCAATTCTAACGTTTAGTTCTAGTATTACTCTTTTTCCAGACTAATAACACAATCATTTCTTGAAAATTAACCGACTTTCCTTTCAATATGAGTTTTCTTTCTTAAAAATTGGCTAATTCTGGGCACGCTCAGAAATTCATTTATGTTCGAGAAAAATTTAATCTAATTTCATTGAAAAGAGTATTAAAATTCTTTTTATTAGAGATATTAAAAAAATTCAGACGAAAAAAAGAAATATATATATGGGACGTTCCACGTCAAGTGGGACAAGTGTCTGGGCAAAATTCATGAAGTCAAAATAAGACGCTTGAAGGCTTAAACTTTATGAATTTTATGATTATGAATTTTCGCTAATCTTTATTCCGAAAAATATGAGTTTTCGTGAAAATAATGATAGAAGAACAGTCTGTCATTGTCTAATATTGTTGAAAAATCATAAGCCAATCTCGAAGACAGTCTCAACCCTTTAAAACGCAGAGAACTTTCTACCTCGACAAACGAGAAGTGGGTCAAATTGTACTGTATATAATATTCAAACGGAATGTGAAAGATAACGTTAAACGATATTACAAGAACAAAGAGTCAAGAATAAGGGAAATATTAATTCGCAAAATGTTGGAGTCGAAAAATTGGATGCTAGATGATTTTTCAACAATAACAGACTGTTCTGCTATCATTATTTTCACGAAAACTCATATTTTTCGGAATAAAGATTCGTGAAAATTCATGATCTCGGAAAGAATATATTTTCTAATTGTTCGTACATTTTTTCAGAATCTTACCGAAAAATGCTTCCTGGAAAATCCCCACGTACTTATTTTCATGGAAAAAGAAATTAATTTCGGATCACACAATTAAGAATCTAAGCGTTGCAGTCAATTCTTCATCCACTACAACCGCCATATTACCATATTGCGATCCGCCATTTTCAATTTCGGACATCTGACTACGGAATGTTCATGAGTGACCCGAAAACCTCTCAGATACCGATTTTCATGGAATTCGAATGAATTTTGAATCACGTGATCAATGAATTAAATGTTTTCAATAATTAAATGTTTTCATCTCAAGCCGCCATATTGGTGCGACCGTTTTTAATTTTTTAAAAGGCCACGTTTTTTCTTAAACTACACATAAAAACGAAAAGTTTAAGCCCTCAAGCGTCTTATTTTGACTTCATGAATTTTGCCCAGACACTTGTCCCACTTGACGTGGAACGTCCCATATATATGTATATAAATATATGAAAATATATATATATGTGATATTTTGCACATTTACTTTGACTGTTCTGCTTACCAGACACATGCTGACATATGAAATGGGTTCAAAAGGCGGTGTCGATCGTCGTTTATGAATGCTACTGTAGTCGCGAATGTGAGCGCGTGTTCTTGTAGAAGTGTTCTTGTAGAAGAACACGCACTGACGATAGTCGTTTTAGCTCCATCTCCGGCATAAATCGCCGACAACGGTTACGTTCACCCTTGTATGAAGACACGGAAGCTAGTCGTTTTATCTCTTCCTCCGCGAACTCGGATTTCGTGACTCAGCTTCGCTGTCTTCCGCGTACCGGCAATGTTGTCTTTAACAACGGTGATAACGCGTTCAAAAGCTTTCCTTGCTCAGACATGCTTGATATTATATATACTAGGTGTATGCAAAAGTTTTAGTCTTTTTTTAGCTCTATAATGTAATTATTTTAAATTAAAATATTTTCTCGTCATTTTGTGTTTTGGTAAGGTTGATATAGTACTTTCTAAATGTTATTCATTATGATTCATTGGTGCATCTAATTTCAAAAATAACAGTTGATATATTTTTGCTCTGTCTGAAAAGCAATGAAACGCACGTACTCAATCGGCGGATAATTGCTGTTTTGCGACAATTTATGTGGCATCTATTTTGCGAGCTTCTGAATTTTTCCCATTTCATGCAGTCACCTTGAAACTGTTGCTTGATCAATTCTGAGCTGTTCTGCAAATTATATTTGCGTTTGGGACGGGTTTTCATTCAACAATATTTCCAAATTGTCAGCCTCAAGCTTTCGTGGCGTCCAAGAGCGCGGATCATCACTCATATCAAATTCACCACCTTTAAAACGACGAAACCAATATTTGCACGTATTGTGGGACACCACATTTTCCTCAAGAACATAGTAAGTGGATTCACATGCTTTTACAGCATTTTTCCTTGCTGGAATTCATATCGAATGTATTGTCGAATATAAAGTTTTCCGTCTCTGATTGTATCAACTGTTATTCTTAAGCCATGTGCATCACAATATGAGTGGTATTTTAGAAAGTTCTACCATACTAACCTTATAAAAACCTTATAAAACTTTATAAAAACATAAAACGGCTGGAAAATATTTCACTTTAAAATAATGTACCCTTTGCTTCATAATGATAGCGTACTTAAACTTTGAAATATAACTTTCAAATGTAAATAATTGCTTCTTTATCGAACATGAAAATTCGTGTGATTTCGTAGCTAGAGCTTTTTGAAGCTATATTTGTTTATTTTATTTCGGAAATTACACATATGCGTGTTATTTTTATAGTTTTTTTTTTATAGTGTTTTTACAGGTAAAGGTCGGTCTAAATTAATTATACGCATTGTGCGTGTGTGACAGTTAATTCCATTTGCCCTATGCTAGTGAAAATTATACACGGCAACAGACGAACAGGCGAAATGTCACACGAAATGCACGCAAAAAAATTGGCACGGCGAAGTTTCGCGTGGAAAATGGGACGGTGTTGTTCTAATGGAGCTACGTTACTTTCATATGTGTAAGGATAAATGGAACGGCGATACGAAAATCGACCGGGATAGAAGTGCATTGCTCGCAAAGGCATTGTTGCGCGGGCGACTTCTACGTCGACGGAGTGTTTTTTTCCCTTCGTTTTCTTTTTCTTCTGTGCTTCTCTTTTTTCTTTTTATTTCCAGACTGTTCCACAAAGTTTCTGCAGTATGGCTTTATTTCCGCGAGGTTTTGCAGCTTTTCGATCCGCTTCGCTTTCAACTAATCAGACTTCGCAGACTCGCATTCGTAAAAGAAGGAGAAAAAGGAGATTAAGGCGTCGTGTACCATGGATAATTTATCTATATTTATGGCGTTAAAACAATGAACAAACGCTTGGCTTTCATTTCAGTATATATTGAACGACGAATAGCCAGTCGTCATTAGGAGGTTAACGTTTCTACAAGAGGATGTCTCTTCCTACAAAACTCCCGTGGACGTTACTGAAAAACTTTAAATTACCAAGACGGGACTCCTCACAGAATCCACACGGTTGCAAAAACAGCAAGATGGTCGGTCTGAGTAAATTGGCGTTCCAGTTGTCGGGATATAACAAATATGGGCTTTACACGCACGATGTGATAGACTACACTAACCCTGTTGTACGTGAAGCTTTGCGCCGATTACCGCAGGATATACTGGATGTCAGAAATTTCAGGTAATATTCAGGTGACATTCAGGTAATATACTCAGGCTTAACGTAAATCCTCGGTAATATAGAATGCACGAAACTGTACGGCTCGCTGTACGGCGAGCAATATCACGAGGCGAGGCGAAACGCACGGATATATCGTCGCTCGTTAAGTCAATCAAACGCAAAGAAATTAATGCAACAATAAGAAAGCGACTTCTCTCTTCTACGTTTCAAAGTTAATTCTCGCTGATCGGGCATTTCAGACTCGATCGTACTTTAACAGCTGAGATTTAACGTCGAATGTTACAAACTCAGCGGGAGATAAGCAGGAGATAAGCGTAGTTACTCGATGTTGCAACGTTTGTTCTTTCAGCCGATTGATATTAAGTTCCTCCGAATTCTCTCTGTAAGAGTATGCGCCAAGTTTCGGAATTCTCCCATCTCGAGTACGAAGCTACGCGTCGTATGACGCGAACGGCGTCGAATGCGTCAGCAACGGGCATCGGTCCTCAAAGAATCATCAGGACGTTGCTCTTCTTCTTTTTTAAGCGCTAATTCACTTAACGAGATCCTAATTTGAAATCCGGTTCGTAGCATTCGTATTGCACGAGCAACTTTCGGTGGAGTTTGCGCGACGACGAGTTTCTCTATCCGTATACTCGCGCTTCTTTCCCTCCGAGATCATTCCCGTAGGTCGTTACAGTCTCTGAGCTGGCATAAAAGAGGGAGAGACTCCGTTGCTTCTTTCTTTTTGCATAACGAGCTCCGGCGGTGCTTTCACTGTGCAGTCGATTTTTCAGTTAAGTCATTTCGTCGCTCCTCGAACGAAGGCACGTAGCAGTTTTGCATGCTTCGCAGGATCATACGCGCTATGCAACTGGATTTCCTGAAGAGACTCCTGCCTGAGGAGAAATGGGTCACGTATGAGCAGGATTTAGAATATCGATATCTCGACCTGTACATGAAGGAGATTGAGGCTGAACGAGCTGAGATACAGAAGTTCGGTTGTCGCAATTACAGCGACACGGACTGGCCGGCCAATGAACCAATATAAGAGAACATATTTTATAATCCCCCCTCCCCCTTATGATGAATGTACGTATGTTACTTATTGTTGCATGGAATGTCACGGTTAATCTATTTTATCTTTGTGTGATCTTCGCGGAGAGAATGATCTGCTGGAAACGACGACAAGTAGAACTGAATAAATTACTACACGTTGAGCGAGGTAGCATTTGAACGGTCGTTAAAATATAATTAAAAGTATTTCTTACTTTCCCGTTGAGCTCTCTCTCTCTCTCTCTCTCTCTCTCTCTCTCTCTCTCTCTCTCTGCTGTCTGTATTTCTCCGAAATTGATTTGTCTTTATTTCTCTCCCTGGATATTAATCTTATTGTTATTTGCGAATACACGTTTGACTTATATATTGTTATTCTGGGGTCGAGATAGACTCGAATGGCGGGAGAGAGCGGCGACAGTTAGGAGCTGCAAGTTGCTGTCTCAACTTGTAAGCATATTGCTGATTGTCGGAAGTGCCACTTTGGGATCCAGTGTGACTTAGGTAGACGCGAAAGATCGACCGCTTGGTTGCTTCTCAGACGTCAAACGTAACGCCGAGCTACTCGACGTTTGTTGTTTGTTTACCTCTGACGTCTCTTTTTATCCTGCGAAATTCGACGCAAACATTGAACCGACAACATGCTATCCAAATAATCTTATATTAATGTACGTGTAACGCTACCATTAAACTAACACGTGTCAAATTGCATATTGCAAATAGTTAAGGCAACAGGAAATAAAAGTGCGTAAAAGAAAAAAAGGACGGCGATAGTATAAACACATAACTTTTCTCTTACAGGACTTTGCTAACAATATTCGTGTTTGCTTAATTTTAACTCTCATTAAAATTTACAGTATGCATACTTATATGTATAATTGCACTCATCTATTACAAAACAAAGTTTGCCGTTATATCAGGCTCAGGTTTTCTGAAAGTTAAACCAATTAAACTTGATTGTCTTTTTATTTTACAAACTCTTACTTTTTTGCTATTAGAAGAATCAATTGATATACCAAGTACACTTTTTGTCAGTCTTTCAGAGTCGCTGCGATTTATGAATAATAAAACCTCATGCAATATTCAGCCTATAGCGAATGTTAATTGTTACATTTTATATTTTAATCTCATTTTCCGCTCTTTAATCAAAACAAAGTAATATTCAGGACAAAAATTAAATAACAGTGTTCCGATATGATCACGAAGATTTTAGATGTTGTCCGTGACGCGATGGCGTGTGCCATTAAATTTTATTTAAGGTTAAAACAGTCAACGCGAGATGATTGGTGGCGAAATATTACGTCAATCGGAAAGTTCCATCCGTTTTCCATCCGTCTAAGCTTCGTTTAGACATTACAGGTTAACGACAGTTCTAACTATAGCTATTTGTCGCTAAACGGACGGAACTTTCCGATTTATCTAATAAATTTATATGCGGCTACAAAAAGAGGGACACAGCGACGAGAATTCTTTGGTTCGTACAATGCTAAGAACACGTCCGAGCGTAATATGATTTACGACCTGACAAATTTATAGCGTATCGTATCGTAACGTTTTGCTTCTCCATCTGAATCTGCATGTTACACTGGGAAATGTATAATCCGCGGATTTGCTTACGGGCGGAGTTTGCGACGGATGGCAAGAAAACGTGACTTCGTTTTGCATAGCAAAATAAATCAGCGTGTATCATCCAGTTCCACTAGGATGCTATATTGCGGATGGATCAATAGTTGCCAAAAGTTTCCGACCAATCGCATCGTTTCTAGCTATGCGTCTCTGATGACTATCGATTAATCTAGAAAGCTGAAATTTGTTCGAAGAAAAGGTGACATTTTGACACTTTTTGATTTTGATCTTTCGTATGTGTTAGTGAAGATTATTCGCTCACATATGACGTGCGAACAGTAGTTTGGGACAGTAAAAGTGTTAAGAAAGATGAGTAAGAGAGGTGAATATATAAAATTGATATATAAATTAATAACCGATGATTGTACATTACACGTAAGTGGGTAACTATTTTTACTGATATACGAAATGTCAAAATTTTTTTAGGATTAATTTGTTATAAATCACGTGGATAGAAACGATGCAACTGTCGAAAACTTCTGGTAATCACCGATCTATCGATGATGTAACACCTGTAGGACTGATTCATCTTTGCCATTTTGTACGTGAGCAGTATCGCAAAGCACGGGTTGTATTTTGTTGTAATAAACAGTCCCAGCATCATTCCAACAAATCAAACTTTGCTTCAGGCCCCCCGCCTGTCACTTTAATTTCAACGATATGATTTTTATTTTCCAATATTCGATATATTCCCGTGGAATGTCGAACCTGCCGGCAAACTTCTTCCACTTCTGATCGACAGAAGTTTCGTAATTTTGCGTATTCTTTTTTCTCCTCCGTGAACGAGCGCTAGCAGGTAGTTCTATATGATATATATATATATATATATATTTAAAGACCATTTAACGTTTAATCGAGAGTTGGCGAATTACCGAGTGTTTCAGCACGCCGTGGCGGTGCGTTTAGGGTTTCTTCCTGAAGAAAGTGAGAGAAAGAAGAGAGGAGAGAGGGGAGGGAGAGAAAGAGAGAATTTGGAGTTAATCGCAGTAACGCACGACTGGCGTCGACTTTACGAGTTAAAGCGGATCGTAAAAAGTTCGTCGCGGTGGCTCCGGTGCTCTTATCGCAAGTTAGCCGATACTTGGTGGCTCGCTTTCTGAATTCTTTATGATCTCGCGAGCCTCGTGGAAATAAATGCTCGGCGAACGAGAACGTGAAAACGCGTTTACGCCTGTCGCCGAGATATCGTATTCAGCGTACGAACACCATGATTTTTCTCGCGAAGTGAGTCCGTATAAATCACAAAAGCGCGCTGATATGGCACGCCTGTCGTTGCGTTTTCTTCGTTTCGCGCGCTCTTTCGTTTGTGCTACCGGTGGTAATTGGATGGCGACGGTGTCGCCGAATGAACGTGACGACGCGACAAATCGAAATCAAGTAACAAGAAACGCTGTCGATACAAAGCGGAAACCTCAGCGGAAACTGAAAATAATAGCGACTTCCTTGTCCCTCCATAATTTGTCTATCTATGCCGTATGCTATAGATCGCGTTTCGTAATTCGCTCAAGCGCGTAATTTAACGGCGCAAATTTAATCATGCTTATACGAGGCGAGACTGCATTCTCGTCGCTCATTTCGCGCGGCACGCGAGCTACCGTCTAGTACCGCGTAGATTTAGAAGGTTGCACTTCGCGATTAAATCAATACGTATGGTGTCACATAAACGATTAGAAGCTGATGCGCGGCTTTCAACAGCGATAACGCGAGGAGTTCGGGACAAAGTTCACAGCGCCGTTCGCGAATTAGTCGCTTCGCGTTATCGTTATTGTTCGCTCGTTCGCAAAATAAAGTGCCAGTTTCTCTTCGAGATCTCGGTCTCTCTCCCTCTCCCTCTCCTTCTTCCTTTCTCTCTCTCTCTCCATCTCTTTCTCTCTCTTTCTCTCTCTGTCCCCTTCCTGTCTGTCGTAATTACGGGAGTATGAGTAATTTTCTAGAGTGCCGACGCGAATTCGCGCGATTATCCGTCTAGAAACAACGCGAAGCGGTGTTAATTTCCCGGACTTTCTCGGATATTTAACACGCGTCGCGCTTTCAACGACCGGAACTTTACTAAGGCATCTTCAAGGGAGAGAAAGAGAGAGAAAGAGAGAAAGAGAGAGGAAGAGAGAGAGAGAGAGAGAGAGAAAATGCGGCACTCATTCGATAACTTGATAGCTTTAATGATGACGTCTGGAATAATCGCTGACGGCGTTCGCTTTTCAATCGCGTTCACTTCATTTAATTTGTCTCTTTGCCTGTTCGTATCAAGCGTTCGGCGTATCGAGTTAAAGTGGCTATCAACTCTCTCGAATATTTTGGCTAAGTGACTTTGGCCTTTTAAACGTAGAGAGGTGTCAGAGGAAGAAAGAAAGAAGTCCGTGATGAATGCGTATCCTCGGTGCAAAGCGGAGCGAGAACTTAAGGGAGTGAAATGTGAAACTGATCGATCTTTGCGGTTGCATGTCTGCTGTCAGATGACGCAGGAGCTAAATGAATGTTAACAAAATGCTTTAATTATGGACTTTCGGAAAATTATACAGTCGAATGATACCTACACAAGGAAGTGACAAAATCTTGCCAAATCTAAAAGTTATGTCCACTTACGTTTCGCGATAAAAATAGGTCGAGATAATTATTATAAGCTGGCTGATACATTGGCCTCAGATGATTTACAAGTGCAAGAAGGTCCATATTACAACAGAATACATAAAAATTCATCTTTACTCTTGATTGATTACCTGTCGTAAATTCTGTCTCATCCTCGGTTGGTAAAGTTTACCGAGTTTCCGTTATCGAAGAAACTTGAGCCTTGTTTCAGCCTGAGATAGTAGTCGGCCATTTTACACCGGAGAAAAATATCAGAAATATCCGATTGTTAATTTTGTTATCCGATTAAATATCCGATTAAATATACCGGATATTTGATCGGATAACGAAATTAACAATCGGATATTTCGGACATTTTTCTCAGTGTGGGCTCGTTCCCGGAAAGTTCAGGCCTGTCATCAAAATTCGATTAAGAAACTACCCATCCCTCCGGACACAGTGGCGCAACTATAGACACTAGCAGATTATGCGATCGATCATAGAACGTGTTACATCTTTGATTATAGCATGCATTCCTCCCTCGGGACAGATACAATGACCTCCTTCATGAACGCTATTATTGATACGGAACGGATTAAATTATCCCTCTATCGTTTGCGCAAATATTTTTGCGGAGCTTTCTAATCGCGATTTTGCGAAATATAACGCGATAATAAATATAAAAGCTATCTCCCTTCTCTTTCTATTATTTTAATGTAATTAAGAACCGATCTTCCGGGAGAACGATAGTCCGCATTTATATAAGACAGCGGCGCATCTTATCTCAGGTGAGATAAATTTTTCCGC